ATCCCGTGAAATATGGAAATTTGTCTCCTAAAGAGAGAAAAAAAAGACTTCAACATGCATCATAAAGGGGAAATTTTAAAAGAGGAGAAGAGATTTCGAACAACTATAAAGAGGGGCTCTCGATCAACAACAGGGGGAGGAAAAAAATAGGGGGTTTTTGTTTTACGGGAAAAACATTGTAAAGCAAAAAAAGGGGGATTTTATCTTTTCTCTGGAGGAGGAGGGTATTTTGTAACAATTCTCTACATTTTCTTTTGTCATTTGAAATCCATACAAAATAACAAGAACATTTCAAGGTTATTTTTTTTAGTTTCGTTTTTAGTTTATTTTTCCTTATTCTTTTTTGAACAAAAATAAAAACGTAAAAACTAGGGGAGTTTTAGATTTTTTCCTTTTTTTGGTGGTCGGTCGCCGTTCGTCGGGGTGACCACCGTTTCGTGGTGGCCGGCGTTGAAGGCCCTTGGTCTTGGGGAGGCGTCGTTCTTGAGAAGAAAAGGGGAGAGATGCATTCTTAGACATGAAGAAGAAAATGAAAGAAAGGGGGAGAAATTTTTTTTATTCACGAGTTACTGGAAGTGATATAAAAGGGTGCTTTCATATTAATTCTTTAGGAAAATCATGTGTTAGGTCCTTGGTTTCTGGGATCTTTTACTTTCTTCATTTATTTTAAGGGCTAATCGTCAAATAATCCCTATAATTTAGGTACATATTTATATTAAGTTCCTGATTTATCTATTTTTTATTGTTTCGAAATTAGCTTCTATATTTTTCATTTTATTTTATTTTGATCTTTATGCTTTACTTTATTATATTTTAGTCATTTTAATTCTATATTTTAATTTTCTAAATTATTTTATTTTGGGCTTTATATTTTGATATCTTTTATTTTAATCCTTTACTTTATATTTTAATTTTATTTATTTAATTTCAGCCCTTTAATTTCATTACTTTAATTTTCTATTTTTATTTTTGCTTTGTTTATTTTGTTTTAAGTGTCTATTTTTTTATTTTTAGTCACATTATTATATATTATGTTATTATTTGACTTTGGTTATAATGTTTATAATTATTATATATTAGTCACTGATTTTTAGTGTTATAATATTTTCGGTAATATTCAATTTGGTCACGAAATTTGATAAATATCCTATTTAGTCATGATATTATTATAATATTATTTGTTTTAGGTTTATTCATATATTAAGTCCTTACTAAATATTATTTATTTTTAATTTAGCCATATAATGTAATCTTATTTTATTTAGAGCACTTAATTTTCAATTTTTATAGTTTAGTCATATTATTACATATTATATATTTTTGTTAATATTTAACTTTGAATAGGACATTTGTAAATGTTTTATTTTAGTTATTGATTTTAAGTATTGTATATTTTTCGTTGATATTTAAAATCCTCTCATGTTGTGTATATTTAATTTTTTAAAACCTTAAAATGAGCACCTAGGTTAGTGTTTTTTTTTAGTTTTGGTAGCACCCATTTTCATATGCATGATAGCAAAAATCCAGGCAAGGGTTATCTTTTGAAACTTCACCCACATGATGTTCCTTGCCATAAAAGGGGGTTCACCATATATATATATATATATATATATATATATATATTTGAATTTACACATTTTTCGGTGTTATACATATATATATATATTTAATATATTTTTGATTCTACTGTTATATATATATAATTAATTAATATAAATTTACTTGATTTTGTTATAAGCATATAAAGTAATTTCAATTGTATTAATGTTATTATGTGGATTGATTTATTTATTTTTAAAAAATCTTATATATTCATACGTATATATTTTACTATTCAAATTTTTAGCAAACACTATTTTATTAGTTTTAATGTTATTTATTTAAATATATTTCAAGAACACTTTTAAATAATTAACTCGAAGCAAATTAATTAAATTTCAATAAACATATCATAGTTTAACTTGATATTCAATTCAAGATTTTCATCATTACGACGATATGTAAGCGACACAGTACTAATTTTGGGCGTTGTGGGGTGATAATTCTTCCCCACACGTAACCGAGTCTCGGACCCTTAAAAATTGAATTTCTGGTAAACGCAGATCAAGTTTTGTCTTAAAAAATGATTTTTCTTAAAATTGTTTTTAAAAGACGTTTTTAAGTATTCGACCTACCTAACCCAAAGGTTGATGGCGACTCTATCCAAATTATTCCAAATCAATTCCAAATCACCCATTTTCCAAAATTAAAATCGTAATTGTTTTTAAAACATATAAACGATTGTTCCGCCGAAAAACGATTACGACAGGGTGTAATATTTTATTCCAACTTTCGGTGCATAGACAACATATTTAGATATATATTTTTAGTTAATAATTGTGATCAATGTTGGGTGGCCTGTCTGTTTCTGACATCTGCCACTACTTGCAGAGTTTTAAAGCTTTGAATCAAAGGGCTGTTGCAGTGGTGGTGGACCCAATTCAGAGTGTTGGAAGGTGGTGATTGATGCATTCCGTTTGATCGACCCACAAACCATGATGCTTGGCCAAGAGCCACGTCAGACAACATCCAATTTGGGGCATCTTAATAACCCATCTATCCGAGTGAGTGCCAAAGGAACTTTGTATGAGTTTTTCCTAATAGATTCTTTGCCGTGGGGACTGATCTCAATATTTTTCATTGCCAGGCATTGATTCATGGACTAAATAGGCACTATTATTCTATAGCCATTAACTACAGAAAGAATGAACTTGAAGAAAAGATGCTGTTGAATCTTCATAAGAAGAAGTGGACAGATGGACTGACACTTCGGCGTTTTGATACCTATTCGAAAACCAATGAGCAGACTGTTCAGGTCAGTGAGGGCTTTAATGTGCACTTCAGGGTGCTGAACCCTTGCTTGTTTATTTGTAAGATAGTGTATGAATATATGCTGCCCCTCATTGATTTGAAGGGAAGAGAAACCTAAGAGTGATAAGCTTCTCTTACAATGAGTTCTTCATATTAAAAAAGGGCATTTAGAATAGTTTCTCAAAAAGTTAAACTGTGAACTCCAAATAACTAATTTCTTGTTATACTGAAAATGGTCTTCCATAAGTTATGATGGTGGTTTATTTTGACTTGTGCAGGAAATGCTGAATTTAGCTGTAAAAACAAGAAGGCAGTGCACCAGGAAGATGAATTACCCCTTGAGAAGCTGGCAATTGCAAATGTTGGGCGACAAGATGCCAAGAAGCACTTAGAGGAACATGTCTCAAACTTGATGTCCTCAAACATAGTTCAGACTTTAGGAACTATGCTTGACACGGTCGTGTTACATAGTTTCTGTATCATCTTTTCAAGTTCAGGAATTGAATCTATATTGATATCATATATTGTCTGTCAAATGCATTGTTTATGTATTTTTGACAAAATTTATAACGACTACCTGCCCGCCTGATTAATTTTTTTTCTCTTTGGCTCCCGCTTTGTGTACGTGGGAGTGAAGGGATTTTTCAGCTTGTTGAACTTGCATTTTGGCAGTTGTTTGATGTTCTGTGTCTGTGGAAGATGAACAAAAGGGAGGAGGTTTGACCCATTTGCCTCAATCCCCAAGCACTGATATCCATGTGGTTCTTGGTCAATGTCTGTGTTCCCAACGACGTCAAAGGTTGTGATTCTGTTTGGTAGGGACATGAATGCTTACTTGCCTGATGGACTCTGTTCTAACATAAACAATATACAGTGATTTCACTGGTAAGGACCTAAACTTGTTGTGGTGTTTATACGGACAATGAGAAATTGTTTATTGCACTGCTCGGGCCAGACATCCTGACGTTAGAGACTTGACGACGTGACGTTGGACTTGCCAATAACTAATGTCGTGACATTCTCTATTGTTTATGCAAAACGAATAAACATTATTCTGAGTATCTTTTGGCACGTAGGGAGTAATTTGCCAATTACTAACGTCATAGCATTATTTATAAAATATTGCAACATTCTCTACTGTTTGTGCAAAACAACTAGACGTTATTTTGACTATCTTTGGCGTGTGCCTGAAATTGGGGTACTTAAAACGTCCACTAAGCTTGTTTAGCAAGACATATACATAGTGAGTCATGTTGGATAAGGGTAGGATTGTTGTGGTCTGAATTTTGTTGACAGATAAGTGATAGCTGGAGCTAGACTGTTATCAAAATTTGGGTGGACTTGTCAAGGAATGTCAATATTCTTATTCTATTGTTTTCTTCTTGTCTACTCCACAACTTTATATTAATTTTAAACTCAAGTTCATATTATTGGAGCGGAGTCCAGTGTACCCAGCCTGATATGCATGTTAAAAGAACTTTTTAATTTAAATGATCTCTTTGACACGGCCAATTATAATTTACGTAATTATATTATTTTCCGTTTCAGAATTAATTTAAGATTCATGGTTTTATATTTTAAAATGATTAAATTCTAAAGTTCTGCATTTCAAATCATATGAAATTTTAGAGTTTTTTTAAAAAAATAGATAATTTTAAAGTTTTAAATATTCAAATCGATTACAACTCATTTAAAACAATAACAAAATTATGTTTTCGAAAATGGATTTAAGTTTTTCAAATGAAATTGAAATGTTGAAGTTGTAAGATGGATTTACCGCGGTAACAAAATGATGATTTAGGTATTTGTTTTAAAAAATTAGTAAAAAAATCATAAGCAAATTTAATACTAATAGATATATGCTAAAACATTTATAAAAATAATATTATTTACGTAAATTACGAAATGATTAGAGATAAGATAATAAATGGAGAAATGGGTAAACGTGTGGGCCACGAATGGTAGGCCGGAGTCGAGAAAAGACCCTTTCCTTGTATCAATTGATTCTTATTCACCTTTGATCGGACGGTTCAAAAATACCCCGCAGCTCGTGGTCAGGAGCATAAAAATGACAAAACACATGCGCCTTAAAACGGCTCCGTTTCCTCCACGTCAGATAATTAAAAAAATAGAGGCAAAATCAAGATTGTTAATTATTTTTCTTCCTGTTCTGATTTCTCTCTCCCTCTCTCAAGTGTTCGTTTTTTTTCCAATCGAGAAAGAATGGAAATTTTGCAGGATGCCGGGAGCTGCGTTTCTCGATCGCAATGACTAGTTCAATTCGCCGCGTCGTTGTCTCCTCATTATCTTCGCGCGTAATCTCCCCCTTCCTCTGCTTATCAACGGATTTCTCTTCATACTCATTCCTTTCTCTTTCTTCACGCTGTAATTTTCTCTTTCTCTTTTCCTTTTAATATATATTTTCTGCATTTTCTTTATGAATTGAGATTCGTTCCGTTTTTTAATTTGTTTTTAACTGATTTGTAGAATATTTTATAACGTGGTCTTGTCTACATTGACTCGGATTCCTTTTTTTTCCATTTTATTTTTTTTCGGTTTTGATGTAAAATTGATCGTTCAAATTTCATGTTAGTTTTAGCTTCTAATGTTTTTTCGAAGTTCTCTGTTGTTACCCCGGCCGTTGCCGTCGGTATATCTCAAAGTTTATCATTGATCGATTCAATTCTTTGTTTTGATTCCTTCGCGATGAGATTTGGTTGTTGAAGCTTTATTTGTGTGTTTTTCAGATTTGGTTAATGGAATTCATGGACAATTAGAGACATTGCTTTAGTAGGAGTTTTAGCTACTGGAGTGGTTATTGGATTTGGAAATTTTATTACAATGTCCTCGAAAGGCGAACATCAAACGGTGCCTCTATCGGTTCTACTGAAACGGGAATCAGAAAGCGAAAAGATCGAAGATCCTGGGATTTTACATGGACAAGCGAGCCAGAGCAAGAAAGGTGAAGACTTTACATTGCTTAAAACAGAATGCCAACGAGCAATGCGAGATGGTGTTGCCACATTCCCAGTGTTCGGGGTATGAATTTTCTGTCTATCATACTAACTATATATTTGCTAACCAGATTCTAAATGCTCGAGCAAAATCACCTAACTTCGCAATAAAAACCTCAGTAGAATTATCCTCCCCCCCCCCCCCAAAAAAAAAACCTCAGTAGAATATAAATGTTTAAAAGCTTTCGTCTCTTAGTTGTATTGGTGTTATTATCTGTACATTTGGTTTGGTTTTGTGCAAATATAATCGTCCTTCAACCTTTTGCTTTAGGAAATCCTTTTTATAGGTTGGCTTGCTAAACATTTTTTTTCTTTTATAGCTCTTTGATGGACACAATGGGTCTGCTGCTGCTATTTACACAAAGGAGAATCTCCTTAATAATGTCCTAAGTGCTATTCCTGCGGATCTTAATAGGGATGAATGGGTTGCTGCGCTGCCAAGGGCTCTGGTTGCAGGCTTTGTCAAAACAGATAAAGATTTTCAAGAGAGAGGTATGAGTTCTTTTTTGTTTGTATACATATCCTATTATATGTTTAATAGGATAACCTTTGGATCAAAACGTAGTATTTTTCTAGATAAAGAGTTAATTTTATTAGATTTGTACACTTATTTCGGAAGTGGTTGATGCTGCCATTATGTAAATTGCATCTCATTGTTTCTGATTTCACCACTAACATTTTAATATTCTCCCTGTGAATTTTTTTGTCCCTGCATTTTGCTGAGGTCCATCTATGTAAGTGGGGTGACTGTTTGGTTGTGTATTTTACATTGGAACTTTTTGCTTTCTCTGGTATGATAAAAGACATCAAACATATTTGTAGATATTTATTTATATATCAGCTTGTCCTATATTTGTATGATTATACTTAGGCATATATATACTTTTATGTGCATAAGCACATAGTTTCTTCACCCATTAAGTGGGAATTGAGATGAAGAGAGACATTGTCAAGTAGGCATTTTTTGTTCTTTTATTTCTTAAAATTTTGGGTAATAACTTATTGTTGGGTTGTATTCAGCATATTTAGTAATTTATATGCATGTTATTTTTCTCTTTCCAGCAAAAACTTCAGGAACTACTGTAACCTTTGTGATAATAGAAAGATGGGTTGTAACTGTTGCATCAGTTGGTGATTCCCGTTGTATATTTGAATCGGCTGAAGGTGATATATATTACTTGTCAGCTGATCATAGGCTTGAATGCAATCAAGAGGAGTAAGTTATTAACATAGTGTTTACCGTATTTTAAGAGTTTTTCTAAATATCAATATCTTACCTTCTGTTTTCATCTTTTTAGGAGGGAGCGGATCACAGCAAGTGGTGGTGAGGTTGGGCGGTTAAATACTGGTGGCGGTGCACAGGTATCTCCCCTCCCCTTACAATCATGAATATTATTTTTGAGTTCATTAACAAAAACGCTCTTGATTCTTAGCCATTTTTTTCCATTTGTAAAACTTAATGCCCTCAAAATATATTCAGGTGAATGGATGCGCTAACACAATACTTGGAAAGCACAATATAGAAGCTAGTTTCAGAGTTAACATTACTCTATACTGAAAATGTACCATGAATAACTTATAAGATAATTGATGTAAATGAGAGGAGTCCTCTGTAAAACTAACAGTGGCTGCAATAATTGTAATTGGCAACATCTTCTTCTGTATCTGTCTTGTTTCAATGCAGATTTAAATATATGGCATTGATATGCCTGATAAATTGGTTCATCGTAGAGAATTTCAGTATCTGCAATCAAGGACAGAACTGTATTCGATTAATTTATGTATCAAAGTGGATCACTGGTAGCGTTGTTTTGTAGATTGGTCCTTTGAGATGTTGGCCTGGAGGCTTGTGTCTTTCACGTTCAATTGGCGACATGGATGTTGGGGAGTACATTGTTCCTGTTCCATATGTAAAGCAAGTAAAGGTTCGCCTTTCATATTCTGATTGTATGCTGGTTTTTCTGTTTTTTAATTTTTACCCTAACCAGTTTCCTTTGGAAAGGTGCTAGCTGTTTGACCAATCTAGTTCCACACCCCTCCCTATGAATTTAGAAAACCTTTTGTTTAATTGTTATTCGTAATAAATTTGACCTACTGGCTTATTTTCTGCAGTTGTCTACAGCTGGTGGTAGGCTAATTATCTCTAGTGATGGTGTTTGGGATGTGTTATCAGCCGAAGTAGCTCTTGACTGTTGTCGTGGAATGCCACCAGATGCTGCAGCTGCACAGATTGTGAAAGTACTCCTGAATTACTTTTGTTCTAACAATTGACTTGTCCAAGGGGATAGGCTTCCCATGCACCTTGGTAAACCTGACCTTATTCGGACTGGGCATTGGACAAGGGTTTTTTTTATTAATAAATATTTTTATTTAATTTTTTAAATATATTTAAAAAATCAAAAATTAAAAATCTTACTTGAGGTCTGACGGGTTGGGTGGACCTCGTGCAAGGATTTTATTTGTCCATCCGAGTCCAGCCCATGGGCACATCTAGTCTATACTATGCTCTTCAAATGTTGCTACTGTGAGCACTATGCCCTTCTGGTTTTGCAATATGTTTAGTATCAGTCTTCTTTCTGAACGACTTCTGACTCGGTCCCTACTGAACAGGAAGCCGTGCAGGCAAAGGGTCTTCGAGATGATACAACCTGCATTGTTGTTGATATCTTACCACTGGAGAAGCCACCTCCTCCTTTGCCACCTCCAAAGAAGGCAGTAAAAGGTAAGTTGAAGTCCATGTTTCGCAAGAAGCCATCTGAATCGTCTTCTCATTCTGATAAAGAATACATGGAGCCAAATGTGGTGGAGGAACTATTTGAGGAGGGATCTGCTATGCTTTCAGAAAGGTTTGTGCATATGATAATTCTTTATTTGTTCAGATATGAAATTTGTTCTTTGTGTGTCAGATCAAGCTTCAGGCCTGTGGATTTCTTTCCTTTCAACTCATTCTGTGGGGTATATAAGTTGCTATGAATGAGGAGCATATTAAGTACTTTATAGTTTTATCTTATTAGGAACATTTCTGTTGGATGCAGGTTTAATACAAAATATCCCGTGTGCAATATGTTTAAGCTGTTCACGTGTGCAGTCTGTCAATTAGAGATGAAACCTGGAGAGGGTATTTCAATTCATGCTGGCACATCTAATTCAGTAAAGTTGCGTCCCTGGGATGGTCCTTTCCTCTGCACTAGTTGCCAGGAGAAGAAAGAAGCCATGGAAGGGAAAAGACCTTCAGGAAGTAATGACAAAACTCTTACATTCCTCTCTTTGTTCATTGCAAACTTATGCTAAAAGCTCTTTGAACTTTTATTTTTATTTTTTTTCTTTCATGTTTTTCCTGTTTTCAGATAGATATGATAGTGACAGTGATTAGTTAGACCTCCCAAATTACTGTGGCGTTTTATGGGTACTAACAGTTGTTTCGGAGGTGGGCGTAGATGGGAAGATATCACAATCATATACTATTTTAATTTCATTCAATTTCTTATTGGGGTTCATGGAGCATTCTGGTCCATTTGCAATTGAGGATTCATTTTGATCTATACTCCAATTAAGAAGATCAGAGTTCAAACATGTGTTTAGATATCTGTTTTCTGGGTTCTGAGTAAGAAGAATGATGTTTACATCGAGTTAAAATGAAAAAAAAGAAAGAGAAGATATGCTGAAGATTTCATAGACTCGGCAGTGCATAGTTGGCATGCTTCAGAGGTACTTCTTTTTTCATCTGTGTTCATCCCATTGTATACCAGTCCCTCCAAGGCATAAAACTAACACTAAATGATAGTGGACTTGAAAGTGTAATATGATTATAATATATAGGGAATTGTTGAGTACTCGATACACTTTTGTCAGAAGTTAGGCAAAACTTTGCATGATTAGCTTGCTGGATGAAATTTGTTCATGTTGATAATTGTTCCTTCAAAAAAATAATATTATTTCTTAATCCAATTCAATGCATTATGTCTTAATGTCAGTATTATTTTCCACTGTTTTGGTAACTTTTATTAATTTCAGTATTATTCACACAAGTGCACGTATGCTTGTAATAAGGATTAACTAGTAGCTAGAAGTTGTGGTGTCTTGAGGATAGATATGTTGAACACCGCAATGAAATTGCGTGTTCGTGTGTTACAGATGGGGCCAGCATTGCTGTAGGAAGGAGTAGAAAAACGATTGGCTGGTGGAGGGTATTTGGCTCTCGTAAGCAAACATGTGAAACTCGCTTTCAAGTTCTCGAAGAGGGCAAGTGCTCAATGCCTTTATTATTCACGTTATTAGAAGCCAAAAGAAAAACATATAACCGAGGGTTGTTTCAAACATTGGGTTTAGGATTTTTTTTAAATATATAGAAGGTAGGTCCTCTGTTAACTAAGGGGTATCGAGTGGGAAGAGGCAAAAGCAGAAAAAAAAAACACACCCAAGGAATAATGGTAATGGATCTTAATTATATGGGTTTTGAAGGTTAAATTTTTGTTTTATGCCTCGTTTTGTCCTCCCCCTTCCATTCTTATCTTTAGAGAGATGGAATGAGATTATTTTGAGTGGAGAAGATGAGTCCGTCGGGCCTCCAAAATAATGCCTCCGTGATTGAGATGTTGACCTATTAGTAAATGAACAAAAATTCCCCCATGGGCTGCTGGTTTTGGAAGGGACCATCTTCGTACACTTGCGTGTGGGTCTACAACCATCTCACCTAACTGTGTAAGTCTCTGCTTAATCGAATGCTTCAACTTGTTGTCACGAGATCATGTGCAGACCTATTTGCAGATGGCCCATCTTCCTCTTAAATTGACTGATGAATAGAAGAAACCTTTGCCCCAAACAAGGTTGCACTGCTTGCAATTTGCTTGTCACAGCCTCAACCCTCAGTCCTTGTTAGTTCATGATCAAGCATTAATGGCGGGGTCGTCATCTCTGCCTCAACAATTAAAACCATTTGCATTTATACTGATCTATTCTTACAACAGAGAAATTCAATTCTCAACTGCAGAACATGTATCCTGTGATGGACCATGATGCCGTTGTTAAATGTTTTTTTTTTGGTTAGCCCAAAGTGATATTGATAACAAAAAACTCAATATCAGCTTATAAATATCGAAAGCAGCATTTAAAATCGGGTCCATTCAAAGAGATTTTGTATAAATGCATATGAAACTGATTAAGAAAAAGTGTATGTTGAACCATGGAACTAGCAGATTCGGACTTGAAACAGTGTTGAAGTCCACGGGGCATGAAATGAGGCCTCAGCTAATACCTCTCAATGACATCATTTCCATGTCAGGATGACAGGTGAGCATTGCTGAAATCTCGTTTTACACAAAGGCGATAACTTAAATGAACGTACTATTTTCTCCCCATGTTTAACTGGCGTGCAGAAAGAGAGGATAGGTTATTTCCGGTAAAAGAAATGAAAGGATAACAGTGTTTTGTTGGTACTATATTCCAATCCCAACTTTCTAAGATTCCTCTAGAAATGAACGCACATATTTCTGTATGCACAGTGTAGTGTATCTAAACATGATTCAACTCTCCTTTTCTTTTAGGCCCTCGCCCGTCTTATTGGCAGAACAGCTCAGAATAAAAGTTTTTGCCTTGCCATTCCACCAACCTGTTGTAGGCAAATTTGGATGTTTGCGATCTAGATTTCCTTGCATCAGTTGTTGGATTTGACAATGACCTACCAACCTTTTTTGATGCTTAATCTGCTAAATATTTCAATCTCACCTCACCTCCAAATGGCCACCGCCACCACCACCCTTTCTATCTATTGAAGAATAATGCAAAAAGGTAATCAAATATGTCCCATTTACTCTCTCTCTCTCTCTCCATATTGCCTCCTAATCTCCTTATCCCCCACCCTCTCTCTCCCTCACACACACAAGCAAACCACCTCAACTGAGAATAATTTTATTTCATTTCAGATACTGAATCAGATATCGTGGAATTAGTCTAATTAAAATCATGAATGGTTATCAGGAGCAGAAAACCAGGGAGAAAGTTGTGGACAAAAAGCAAGAAGGGTCAGCAGAAAAGCAATCCCCAGCTTCAGCTTCTTCAGCTTCTTCCTCTCCTTCTCATGATTTCTCCTTCACAGTCGTCTCTCTCCAGTCTTCCTCCAACACTGTCTCTGGTAAAACCAAAACCCCACCTTCAATGGCTATCGATTTGACTCCAGCAGATGACATTTTCTTTCACGGTCATTTGCTCCCTCTCCACCTCCTTTCTCACCTCCCGGTGTCTCCACGTTGTTCTACGAATTCATTGGATGGATGCAACGTTCCCGTAAGAGAGTTATTGGATGATCCGAAACCCGATAAACCCAGCTGCACCACTTGTAGAAGAAAAAACGATAGCAATATCAGAAGCAACAACAAGAACCATCGCAATGGCAAAGTTGGTAACTTCCATCAAACCCACAACGTTGAAGCAAAAGGAAGGACAAAGTCTAAGTCTTTCTCCTTATCCGGTTTAACAAGGTGGCACCACCACAAAGGGCGTGGCGTTAGAGAAACAGAAGAAAAAGAGAAGCACAGGACGAAGATGAGATTCGACTTGAGACATGTTTTGAAGAGGTACGTGAGGATGGTTCGGCCATTGTTGTTCTTCAGAGGAAGGAGAGAGAACCGCCATCTTCGTGGGCAACCTCGCTCGAGTTGGATAAACAAAGAGAAAGAGTTGAGAGCAAGAAGAGGAGATTTTTATTCAGCGCCGGCTTCAATGAGAACATCACCTACAAACAGTGGTCTTCTTGTTGCAACAACGGGTTACTCTTCTTCAACAAGTGACAGCACAATGGAGGAGCTGCAGGCTGCAATTCAAGCTGCGATTGCTCATTGCAAGAATTCCATTGAAGGGGAAGATAAATTCAAATGTTAGGCCCTATAAATAGGGTTAGAAATCAAATTATTCTATTCTCTTGTTTTTTTTTATTTCATATTAGTAAAATTCTTTAGATTTTTTTTTGAATTTTTCTCGTAAATCTTGGTGTTCTTTATTTTTTTCGATCGTGTTTATTTATTTGTTGATAATCATCATTCTGATATTATAACAAATTGGTATCAGAACTTCGGGTTCAAGATTACAGCAAAATGAAGTATGATATTTCGCTGTTGGATAAAAACACCATATTCTCCCTATGACAAGTGAAGATTCGAGATGTTCTTGCACAGTTATATCTCAACGATGCAATAGAAAGATTTAATGAGAAGTCAAAAACACAATAGATGAGTGAGGAAAAGCGTAAAGATCGTAATGTGCATGACATTGCTCGTGGTGAAACATTTGTGAGCAAAGTTGACACTTATGGTAATCATATCAATGTGAAGACTAAATCCAAGCCTAGAAAAAACTTGGACTTGATCAGTGTCCGTTACTGAAGATTACCCCTCTGAGGGGTGTTGTGGAAGAAGTAGAGAAATTGTTCGTTGAAATGACATTATTTTTTTGTTGAGTTTAGATGTCACATTGAATTTGTGTGTTGTCTCGAAACTTTTGCACTTTCAGTGTTCATGTTAAAGTGGTGATTTGTTAGAGTTTGACTTGAATTCAAAGTGACACAAATTAATTAATATATAAATATTGGGAAAGTATGAAACCCAGCTTGGTTAAAAGTAGAAAACTTTATTAAAGTAGATTTCTATTTTATTTAATTTTCCTTTGTAATCAAGTATCTATCCCTATAAATATATACTAAGGGTCAAAGTTAGAAATCAAGTTTTTCTTAGAAATCAAGTTTTTCTTTCACTAAAATCCTCTTGTATTTTTATCTTTTATAGTAGTGAAATTATTCTCCTCTACTCGTAGTTTTTTCTTTTTGGGTGGTTTTTCTTTTTTGGGTTTTTCATGTAAATCCAGTGTTCTTTGTTTTTCTTTTCAATCGTTTTATTTATTTGCCGATAATCATCGTTCCGATATTATATCACATACTTTTGAATTCCCTCTCTTCATATTTATTCAACTTCTATAAGCTATTTTAGCTTTTTGTTCTTTTCTTTTTTACTGCATATATATAATTAATATTTCCGTGTATAAAACGGTACATACATAAAGGAGTATGAGATTAGTTTCAAGATAAAAATGATGATTGCTTTGATAAATTTCAACATCTTAAAATGAAAAATTGTTTCTTTTATTGCCTTTTACTGTGCAGAGTATGTCATATGTAGTTTGATGAAATTGAGCACAATGTGAAGGTCAAAGATTTTGAGGATTCTTCACACGATTTGTTTGTTGCATTAAATAAATAGTTAAAGTTGTTAAATTCCAGATTCAAGAATGTCAAATATGAGATGGCATCTATGATGTATTTGCATATTCTTAATATTGTTTAGTGCAGCATTTTATATTTCATAATCCCTCCTGGACTTTGATGAATTCAAACAGTGTGATTATTGGCATCCTCTGCTTGTTCCTACTGAAATGCTAATCATGGTTAGCCTCGGCATTTTCAGTAAAAAGAGCAACCCATCATCATCAAGCCTATCTTTTTTTCATCTGTTCATTTTGCTTGAAATTTTTTCTTTCTTTAGCATTTACCCATGAATCAAACACTAAAAGAGCCCCACAGGAAAAAGGAAAAGTTAGCAATTATAGGGAGGGAGTAGAGCTAAAGTAGAAGAGCACAGTGGGTTTCAAATTTTCAGTCCCTACAAGCGAAAAGGCAATCAAAAGGGAACAAAATACCATTTCTGGTGGCAGATGCCCTAAAAATATCAAGTGGTATCAATGTGGGACACTTACGATGACTTGACTGCTTGAGAAATTTCTCCAAAAAGCATCAAGCACACAACTAATTGCATATGCAATCAAGTTCAACAGTGTACTTGGGATCTTAATATCAAAGACATGATTTGAGTGCCACAGATTTAAGATTAAGAGCCCAAGACCGTGTAATGAGGATGATGATAGGTTGTAATGATGACAGCAATTGTCTTGGTTTCTCCCCT